CCTAATAGCTCACTGATTTACATGATGAGTGGCTCGCCTTGTGTAGACAAACTCCTCTAAAAGGAGACCAGAGGAGGTACACACACACACCATCTTCACACATCAACACGTGCAAACACATAGCCAGGACTGTGATTTGCATTTTTTTCATATTAAGACAAAGAATCCCAAACACACACATAATCACAGACACCCAAAATCATACATAAAGACAGAACAAACAAGAGGGGGGGAGGCTGCAATAAACAGATGAATTAGCGCTTGTACGCTGCTTTCGCTTGCTTAGCGCGTAACTCAATTTGAAATGCTAACACCRCAGTGCGCTCAGGGGCGTGCGGCGGCAGGCCAGCATCATCGGGCAGGCGGGCGGGATCGTGCGTCCTCGTAATTTCCCCCTGCGCTCTTTTTTTGATGCGGCGCCACCGTGCAGTGGCCCCATATTTTACTCGCGGTGAAAAAAATTAATTGGGAATTTCTGGGAAGACATCATTTGCACGCCGGACTGGCTTTGAACTGCAGATGAAGGAGGAGCAAGAAGAGAAGAGAYGATGTGGGCAGGTTGCAATGCAATGCCGCATTTTTAACGGTGTTGGTCTTTCTGTTTGGGACTTTTGGAGATGGATGTGTGTGCCCGCGCCGTACGTAAACGATAAGGACCTGTAGCTCCATCATTAGGAACCATCATCACCAGCTAAATTTATGCGTCTGGGCTTTTTTTATATGTATATATATATAATGACAGGGAAGCAGGAAACACACAGGCATGCAGGCCCCATTTTTGCCAGCAGATGAACACAATTAARGGTAAAGAGATGCTTCTGAAAGACACAGCTGCTTTAATTTACAGTGTGAAGCTTTAAGAATAGTAGCTTAAGCGTGAAGAGTCGGCGCGTCGTGTGCATAATTCCTGAAATGCATTTTACTAAGTAGGGCCTATAACGACCATGCACTAAAACTGTTCATCCAATTTATTAGAAGAGCTCAGAACGGGGGCAGGTGGGGGAGGGGATTGATGATTAGGCCACGGGAATTTCTATTAAGCTGAGTGAAGAAGTTCTGCAGATCTGACAGCCCCGCGTTTATGTTTGCTGGCTGTCGACAATAACAGGTGGAACTCGCAGTGAGGGCTCCAATTAAAATCAAAATCAACCTGCCTGCTTGTAATTGCATTTCCATGTGTGTGTGTGTGTGTGTGTTTGTGTGTGTGTGTGTGCGCACATGAAGACGATGCTGAATTTAATGACATCTGAATTTCACGCATTGCTTTGCCTATTAGAGGTTTTACCCTCTTTCACTCTTTTAATTTAAGTTGTTAGAATTTTTGTGTGATCTTTACGACTGTGTAAAATGTGAACAAAAAACAAAACAAAAAAAAGAAAAACAAAGAGCAGTCCTGTACTTGGCTACGTGTGTGTGCGTCACACAGCAGTGTGTCTTATTTCTCTGCCGAATGCCAGAGTACTTTGTGTTGCCGCAGAGATTAGACCGAGCGCCCAGACCCATCAATATCCATGACTCCTGTAAACCTAAACACACACACTCACCTGCACACACACACACACAGGTTTATATTTCTATCCTTATTAGGACCATTCATTGACTTGCATTCATTTCCAGTAATTTCTACAGCCTTATTCTGACCACCAACCCTAACCCTAACCTCACAGGTACCTACATGACCCTAAAACTAACCTAAACTCAATTCACACCTTGGTCCTAAACTTAACCCCCGACACAAAAATGGAGTTCCACCATATTAGGACCGGCCTTTTTGCCCCCATTAGGTCTAC